CCATAAAATCAGAAAAATACCAGGCGCCCCAGTTACAATTATGGTCTTAAGAGGGTGTGTTATAAAGTGGCACAATGTGCCAGGAAAATGCATAATACCGGCCCTTTAAGTCTCAAACAGTTCAGTTACTGAGAATATCTAACATGTAATGAAGAAAAACAGAACGCATCACCTTAAAGCTCCTAAATTAAACTGTTAACTTGTACAAATATTTGCTTTATAATTTCAAGACGCAGAACAAGAAAGCTCAGATTAACTTTTCTAAATGCAGCAGAACAATATGTTTCGGTGGCAAACGGAGAATTATGCCGACAGTCGGCCGATCGAGTCCGGCGACGAAAACGTTTCTGACTTACGTTAAATCAGCAGAGTTCGTATCAAACAGGGCAGTAATGACGCCAGACTTAATACTGGTTTAAAGAGATCAAGTAAATATTTTAACAGTAATTACGAAATAATACGTTTTTTTGTTTTCAATAATTCAACACTGCTGTAATAATCTGCACTCAGTCCAGGATTATTCAGTCCAGGTTAGGGATGAGATTTTAATCTCAACTTCCCTACATAAAAACACAACTTATACCGAAGCATTAAAATGTATTGTTTCTCTCTTTCTATCAAAAACTGGATGATAAGTCTTCAGTTTGATGTTGTGGTCTCAACTAGCCTTTTGCTGGAAGGACAATTTTGTCTACAAATACTTTATAATTAATTTTATTGGTCGTTTCTATTTGTTTATTTATTTAGGATATCTAATATGTCTTCCACCTACAGTGTTAAATGTTTATTAGAATTTAAAGTTTATTGAACTTAGAGAATGTCTTCTTACCTTTATGTTACTTGAAAATGATCTTAAACAAACAATACCATCGTTTATCACAATAACTTTGGCGACAATTTATCATGTAGCAAAATGTGTTTCCGTGATGCGTCTACCAGAGAACGTTGTGTTGATCAGATCAAGTCAAAACGATTCAGTATCACAAGCTGAGAAACGGATAACTTCAGCCTCATTAGCTGTGAATAAAATATCCAATATGTAGAATATTCACTGAATATTCCAGAATCGCACAGCATTCTGGGAGATGTAGGCAGAGGAAAGGCTTTAGCTGACCCATGTTAGTGGCACCAACTAACTCTCTCTCTCTCTCTGGTTGCTTAGCAACAGCCTGCTGGGTAACAAGCAGTTTCAAGTTCCCCCCACTTTGGTTACCTAGCAACCACCTGCTGAGTAACCTGCTCAGCAGTTTCAAGTTTCGCCTCATAGCTGCTTAAAAATAATAATAATAATAATAATTAAAAAAAAGGTGTGAAGTTAAAAATGGATAAAAACTGGAAAGGTCCCGACACTAGTTTGGCAGAACTTCAGATATTTAAGAAAAAAATAAATAATTGTTGATATAAACTGATATGAAACATTTATATCGTTGTTCATCCCCTCTCCCATTAGGAGAGGGTGATGTAGACTTACAGTTTAATTATAATGTTTTATGTGCTGTTATAATGATAAGAACTATATTACAATTTTTTTTTAAATATCTCTGGATGCGACTGCATTAAACTGCAATAAACACAAATAGTGCTCCTGAAAACATTCCCATTAGTTTCTTTAGGACACCAGTCACAGAAGGAAATGTGATTTGTATAAATAAACTGCAACATTAACTGCATTTAATCATATTTTCCAAATTTGATCATAAGTGATTTTTGTGGAATTAAAGGAGAAAATGGCGAAAACAATCAAAACAAAACGGATGGTTTTTAAAAATCATTAAATGGAATCTATCATGACAACAATAAAGAAATTAATTACGATAAATATTTACATCACGTTACATTTTTTGCACCAGAAGAAGCAAGACGTCCATTATTAAATCTGGACATAAACAATGGCTTATAATTATATTTATAAAGATTATGAAAGAGGTTTGTGCGTCACACCGCTCTTCGCTCCGACTGACAGACAGACAGAAACTGCTGTGTTAACGCGCCACATATCAGACTTTTTATTGTTTGTGCTTTTTTATTAGCTTCCTTCATGTTATAATCTTGCGAACATACGGTCTGCTCTGATCGCTCAAAAACGGCAAAATGGATCCCCAGATGCGGCGGCCATCATGACTCCCACAGACGGCGCGCTGCCGTGTAGCGTCAACGTTCTTCTTCTGCGTTTCTGCGTTGGGGTCGTGAACGGTTCACACAGACGCCTGATCGCATTTCATCAGCAGAATGAACGACCGAAACAATTAATTTAAATTTACAATCAGGATTTGCTGCTGTGTGAACAAAAACTTAAAAACTTTCACTGGACGTCAACCATCGAGACACTTAAATGTCGGTTGCTATAGCGACGCACAAAGGTGCAGCGGCCATTGCGGTTTACCCAATTTCATTACAGTTCATGTAATTACATGTTTTTATAATGACAACAAAGATTATTATTAAAATAGCTCTATTCTAGTGTTAAAGGGCTAATCGGATTCAGAAGGCCAGTCAGAAGAAAACAAACCGTAACCTGCAGCTTTACGTCACAACAGAGGCAGTAAATAAATAATTTATTATTATAACGGCAGGAAATTATGACTCCATCGACAGGCTTGATTTAACCACGAATATGATCAGTGTGTGCATAAACCGTCCCAACAATAATTAACTTGAGTGTCGTTCATCATTTCTGCATCCATGTAAAAACCCCGCATGTTGCTCCTTGTTTGTTTGTTTTAACGCTCATCGTCTTTACTTTGTTTTATTTGCAATAAAAAAATATGACGAACTTCCGGTTTTTGGTTTGACGCTTTTATTTTGATAGTACAACTTCCACTGTATATATTATCGAACGGCGGCTTATTGGCAACAAACAAGTTTTAACAAGTTTGGTAAAATGCATCAGCTGTAAAGGTATGTTATTAAAGTGTTTACTACTGAGCTGTTCAAACTGTGAATTTGTTTTATCGCATATGGAACTAGAGTGTAGTTTTTATGATTATAGCTGATATTTTTAGTTGTAAAGTTTCGGCTTTAAGAGTGTGGTGCTTTTTGTGTGTAAACATACGGCTCTTGGGGTGAAACTAAGAGTTTATTTCCTTTAAATCACCATAAAAGCAGCATGCATGTCACCTCATTTATTGGTTGTTGTTTTAGACCATGATGCTTGATTTCCCATCACCTCTTAGAAAGCGTGCTTCCAAAAATACATGCAGGTAACAAAGAGAGTCATTTATGTAGAAATTAATCAGAAAGGTAAGAATAATTTGACGATATTTAATTATAAACACTACCTTCTTTTAAGATCTTTAATTTAAATAAGTATTTTTAGGTACAATATGACTAAATTGATCAATTTAGGGTGGAAATTTTTCTTCGTAAAGAGCCAAATTGTAACTAAAGTAGTCCTGACTGAAAGACAAAGCTGCTCTGACGGGTCCCCTCACTTACCTTCACTCACCTTTGTCTTGGTACGAACGCGAGTCGCATCCCAGACAACGACAAACAGAAACAACTTACCTTCACATACTCACAGTTTCCACAGAAAAGCCACACTAGACCCACTTACCTTCACACACTGGCCGAGCACAGGGAGCTGAAAACCCAAACGCCGTTAGTCACTACTTACCTTCAGGGTCAATTAATTTAAAAATTAAAATAAAAAACACACTCAAAAAGCTCCATCTTTCTCACTTAAAAGTAGCTTTTAAGAAAAGCTATCAACTCTGGCTTATTGAATTAGCAACAGAAGGTGTTTTTCTTACTCACCAGGCAGAGCTTACTTGTTTCTCAACATCTTTACAAAGTCATGGTTTACTTGTACATTTTTCACAAGACAAACAATACTGTAATATGACATGAAATAGATAATAGCAAATATACTGAAAACATGACATTATTCTGTCGCTTATGACAGCCAGTAATCATTTTCTGTTACACGACAAGCAAGTGACAACAGGGTGATCAATGCTTCTTCTACTCTATAATACACAGAGACCCCCTGAAAGATAAATAAATAATCCATTAGAGAGAAAGTGATCATCAGGGCACATTGACTCACTGTGGTGAGTGTCAGAACCGGGCGGCGGAGGAGCAGCAGTACCTGATCCAGGATGTAGTTGCGTCTCTTGCGGGCGGCGATCTCGATGAGCCGGTTCAGACACTGGGTGGCCTGCTGGATGAGGACATCCCAGCGGCCGGCGTAGTTCCTCTGGCGCCGCAGACCCATCACCTGGACAGGCAGACGCAGCAGGCGCAGGAGGAACGGTTAACCAGGTTCACCGGTACAACATCCATTCCATTTTGGGTTCAAGTTCAATTTAATTTTAAATTCAATTTAATTTAATGTTTTATTTAATATTCAAATTATTTTTTTGTTTAAGTTTATTTCTGTAACATTTCAGCAATTAGATAATTGTATTTTAAATAATTTTTTTATTAAATTAAATTTTTATTTAATATGTACATTAAATTTTTATATTTAATGTAATATTTACCTTTAATTTTAGTTTTTATTTTGGTTTGTTAACCAAATTTACTTGTATAACACATTTCAGCAATTAGATAAATTTCATTTTAATTTAATTGTAATTTAATAATTTATTTTATTTTACAAAAAAATTTACATATATAATATTTTTTCTGTGTATTATAGAGTTTTTTATATATATATATATATATATATATATATATATATATATATATATATATATTTATATATTTATTTTTTTTTTTATATTTATTTTTTTTT